CAGTGGACAAGAGCTGTTCCACCTCGCACAAGACCGACAGGCGTGGAAAAATCTGATCCCGTAAAAATGGTTGGCCCCAACGGGCGCTAAGCCTATGGGACATGATGATGATGATGATGATGATGTAAATGAAAAACATCAAAATAACAATTTCTATTTGTAAAAAAAATCTATTTTAATGGTATTAAAACATCAAGAGGATTGAATGTTTAATAACAATAGTCTATAATTTAGTATATACGATAAACAGATTCCTGCTCATAATTTAACATCTTTAAGGTACTCAACAAAAAACTCTTTACACAGAATGTATGAATTACAAATGATTCAATAGATATATTATAACGCCAACGTCTAGAATAATTTTCTAATTCTGTTATTATAAAAATAATATTTGTGTTGATAGCTGTTAGTGGTTTTCGATAATTTTTGATTGATTATGACAAATCCTAAAAAAAAATCTTGTTAAAAGTACGGATATAAGCGTTAAAGTAAGTGCTTTCCATAAGTTGTCTCGTTCGAGTTGAGCGTAGGTGTGAGTGCGGGTGAGAATGTAGGTGTGCCTCAGTATGATTCTCAACGAAGAAAACACCCACATCCACCCATCCTCACACTCACCCAGTTATACCGACACCCCATTCACACCCACACCCAATTTTTTTTTCATTTTTCCATATTACGATAACTCTGGAACAAGGGTGTGGGTGTGGGTGTGGGCCAGTCTGGATATCTTCTCATCACACACCCACACCGCACCCCTCCCGATTTCGATTTCAATTAAAGAAATCGATCATCAAGTGGTATAAAATCTACATAGCTTAGGTGATACACCGAGTAAAATAATCATAACACGAGAAGGAAAGCCCATTGGTCCTTATCGTTTGAGGCTTTTCTGGTTTTGTCCAACCATAAATTTAGGCAAAATCTCCACAAAGACGCTATGGATCAGTTGAGAACTTTCTCTCATGGGTCTGATACTCGTGTGCGCTCTTCACCAAGATTCGCATATGGTTTTGAGAAATGAACTTTCCAAAAGTTTCATTTCTGTGCTGTTCGACCATCAGGTGGCTAAGAAGTCTACAATGAATGTTTTATGTGTCCAAAAAGGGTCAAAGAAACACATGAATCCTTGTTTTATTCGTTGATACTGATACAGTATGTCGTTTGTGTCCCAGGAGTCATTCGCTGAAAGAGAGAAAAAAGTTGCTTGACGCACATGCCTTTGTTCTTTTTTCGTGGAAAATCGATATGTTTGCACACAGTATGCTTGAATAGCAGCCTTCACTTGCATTGTAAATATTTCATAAGAAAATAGAGAATGGAGCACTTTGTTGACTATCATCACTAGTTTTTTTTAACTTACAAGAAAAACAACACAAAGTCAATACAAGGTGAAGTAACGCTGAATCGGCAGGTATTGACGCCTGTCATAATGGAAGACGGGCGGGCATATGCGAAAATACTCTTTCCCAGAATCTAACCTTTTGTGTAGATACATGCATATGTGACCTATCATTTCCTAAAATGGCGGTTTCCAAATTTTCAGAAAGCTCATGAAAAGAGCCTGCCACGGCTTGGGCGCAGAAATCAGCAGGGCGTAGGTGTGGATGTGGGTGTCTCATACTAAAGTCACACCCACACCCACACCCTAGGTGGTTAGATTGAAAAGTGACTCGCAAAAATAGCATTGCTTCGCAATGAAATACATCATCAGTGGACCTATTAGTGCCTATAGATAATTGAAATGAATACGGTTGTATACGAAGAAATAATTTATAGAAAATAAGCAATTAAATACAACTTGAAAGTCACTTAATAATCTTTTATGTCTGTTTCGACCATCGCTTTGACAGCTTTATGTGAAATGAAATACGTCCACAGATATAGCAGGCAAATTTCATAAAACATCCCTCGTTGCGTGTTTTCTGAAATACATTTTTCCAATTGTGAATGAGATCTTCCACGATACTTAAAATAAGATCGTACCGAGGTCTGCAAAAGGAAATGTATTGATGACAGTGGAATTAAATAACGGACAGAATGTTTTTCTGGAAGGTGCTGTTGTTTCAGAAAGATCTCTTTATATACAATAATTTCGTATGCGTAACCCGTTGATTGCTACCTATGACTGTTGTAACAAATGTTTTCAGGGGAGAAAATCTAACAGGTTCTTTTACAGAATGCTGTAAATGGGAATCAAAGTGACATTTAGACACTTTATGATACAAAAAACATTTTTATGTATTAACTATTCTTTCCTAGTAACTTTCCTAATAGCTTGTCTAACTCAGCGCTAAGATGCTACTAAGATGACAGAATGAGATTATTGTCTATAATTACAAAGGCTTAGATACTAATATAGGGATCGATGCTACAAAAATGAATTTTGAGAAGGTGTCTTCCAGTGTGTTGAGGGCTTTTCTATCTTTTGATGAAAGCTCATAATCAATAACGAAATTTACATAAGAGCTCCTTACATGTCATTCCCAGAAGGGAGTTATGAAAAACAACAGCAATATACAAGAGAAAATGCGTGTATCGCTCAACACATTTAGAGACGTCCTTCGCCAGTATTTGCGGTGCTTTATTGAGAGTGAGATATTTTATCTCCTTTTCATGAGCACTCATGCTCTAGATATAGTGTTGTTCAAGACATAGCTTTTATATGTGTCTTAATAAATATGTTCTATGCTCTCTCTCTCTCTCTTACCAGCAAAAATGTTTTAGTTTCCCGGGAAAGCTCACAGAGAAGATCATACGCAAAATCAGACTAAAAAAAGTTAACCTTGCATTTCGCTCGATTAAGAATCCGAAAAAAATATCCGATTCTGTTTCCCATTTTTCTGAGACTTTGGAAGATGCGTTCTCATTTATTTTCGAACTGTGACGAGGCAATAGGTTTTCATGTATATTTGAGGTTCACGTTTGCAAAGCATGTATTTCTCAATGAGCTATTATCACACAAAGGTTTGATTATTATAATGTAGGACAAAACAATAGTAGCTATCACGACTGTAAACTAAAACTAGATGAAAAATCCTGATTAGAGATAAAAGCACTTGCCGCTAGAATTAGGAAAAAAAAGTGGCTAAGCCGTCAGAATTAGGGACAAAAAATAGCTGGTCGACAGTATTAGGGACAACTTTTTTTTTATAATCTGTGAGTGTCTTCATTTTAAGACTCATATCTCCATACATGAAAATACAATTGTCGTGAACCTTTAGACTATGAGAGAGCTTGATTCGCTCTACAAAAATATTTCAGGCACGTCCTCTCCATTTCTTATCAAAACTATCAAAAAAAGGTTTTTTTCCAAAAATTGTGTTTTTCCATTGAATTTCTTAGAAGCGTCATAATTAGGGAAACTTTTTTGCCGAACATCAGAATTAGGGAACTACCTCCCAATTCTGTCGGATGGAAGTAATTTTCGTAGACCGGTAATTTCTCTATGAAAACCTGAAAGTTGAAACGCGAACAATATATCATTGGAGAGAGGAGAATCCAGAGATTAACTATATATAAAAATATTTCTGATTGGATGTAAGATAGCCCCACACGAGTTGAAACAAACAACGCCAACATTTTTCCAACAGAATTAGGGAAATGGACTGTAAATCTGTATTGCCATCAAATATAATGTCATTACGTGATGATGATTTTATTGATTTTGTTAAGGAAGAGGCTGGTCATGCTGCTGCTGCTCTACTCGAATTACTAGGTATTAATAGTGTGAAATCATTGCTGATGACAGATGATGTTTATTCTATTATGAACGTGAAGAGCAAAAGTCTTGATACATTTAAAAACAAATGTGGTTATATGCAAGACGATGGTACATGTATTATACAACCTGGTGTTAAAGGAAATATAGATTATCTCATCAGTTTGTTGAAGAAAAAAATATGTTGATGATGCAAAATTAGTTAAATCTTCAAAATGCAATCAATTATCATCATCATTAACTATAACTACAGATACATCATCAACAATACGAAAATCTACATCATCTGTTGTATCCGATAGCTCACCAAAAACTATACCATCAAAATCGTTTAATTTATCAGTTGCTGAACATAAATCATATATAATTGATACATTAAATAACTGGTGCAAGAACAACAAATCAAAAGATACTAATGAACGATTTTATTTAGTTGAAGGCAAGGATTATTTTATTTCATTACCAAATGATTCAAGTGGTAATTAAAATGTAATATAAAGTGCTGCTGTGAAAAATGGATAACATTAGTCTTTAGACGTGGAAAATTTCAACTGTCAAATTTATATCGTCATCTGCAAGGCTTAACTAATGAATGTCCTGCATTAAAAAAAAAAATTAATAATCCTCTTGTAACATCACCATCCTCACCAAATAATCAGCAACCATTGACCCCATCAAATAATGTACTTCAACAAATTGCATCACCAAATCCAATAACTAATATACCAGCATCAGATACAATACAATCGAATTCAACTTCAGTCACAGCATCGTCTATCTCCAAATCAACAGAAGATGATGAAAATTGTAATAAAAATTGTGATAAGAACATTATCGAACAATCATTATTCAAAACTAAAAGACAAGTAAAAAGAAAAGTTCAAACAATAGAATCTTCACATAGCACAAGAGAATCAGCAAAAGAAGAAGAAGAAAAGGATTTTTATATGCCGAAAATTTTCTTATTTGTACTTCTTCTATTACTTCTTTCGTATTCTCTCATACAGTAAGGTTTTATATTAAATTGATGTTTTTAACTTAATAATTCATTTATTTTTTTTTTCTGTTTTAGTTAATTGATTCTATCAAGCATTGAATTTTTATATTTTTATGTCCGTTTTATTTTAATTTTTTTACATTTCACACTTGTTTTTTAAATAAATAAAGAAGATAATTTGTGATAATAGAAGAAAACTTTTTAATATAAAAAATTCTTGATTGATTCTTGCAGTGTTCGAAAATATTTTTTCTCTATTTTCAATAGAGAATTGAGAAAATGAAAACAATCATATTTTTATAATTCTAAGAATTTCATATCAGCTTGGATTCAAGCGGATTCAAGTGGATTCATGGATTCTGCTGTTCTCCCCTTGGCCAAAAGTCAACTCAGCCGTTCGGTTACTCCTAAGCGAACCCGATTCACCGCATAAGAATCTACCAATGCAGCGAAAAGCAGAAATATCGCCCTTCAACAAATCTCAATTCAAAATATTACATAAACCTACACTGATCCAAGAGAATAACAATGTTCCCCAACATACGCCTCCATCAAATCAAAACTATTCCGAAATATTCAATCTGACCACGAGACTGCCTCAATGAAACGCAACTTTTCCGACCACATAATCGATCTCAATTTGAGGAAATTTTCGAAAACGAACCCAATATCGACCAACATAAACAGAAAAGCTACATTTAAACATTCATCAACAATTATACGTTTCAAAAACAAATCACTAAAATATCAACCACAGTGCCATTTTCATCGAATTCGTGAATCTGATGCAAAAACAAAATATCTTCAGTCGAAACTAGTCGTTGTAGCTTCTACACACCCTCACCCTCGACAAATCCGAGAATGCGACAGAGGTGCGAAGCACGAATATCGACTTTTCAAAAATAAACGAGATTTTTGAAAAATCGAATTACTCTATTTGACATTATCAAATTTATCACCGTCAGAATCCCATCCAAGCCTATAAACTTATTTCTATTAGATGATAATAAGGCAGCAATTTAATCGAATGCTTTTATTTATTGAATTATCTGAGAAATTTTATTATGTAGCAGTAGAAGTAGAATTATTAATGTATGACTTATTGTTATAAAAAGTAATCAATAAAAACTGCTTAAATTAATGCAAAATTGAAAAGCTTAAATAATATCAAATAATAAATGAGAGCATTTGCTACTGTATAGTTGGTATCAACTTAAAGCAAGAAAGAAAACATCTTGAAATCAGAATAGATTGAGAATTTTACACATCTTTAACTTTAGTCAGATACAAAAAGATAGACACTTCTTCTGAGACCGAGCTTTACTAAAACTTTATATTTCTAGTCTCGCTCCTTAGATGAAGAAGTTAGAAAGGTCGTGAATTTGGTGAATTTTCTATTCAATTTATCTTTGAACTTCTTAAAATAACTCTAAAAATCTAAAAATAAAAAGTAAAATTTATTTTAAAAAAGTCGAATTAATATTTTTTTGATGATCAAGATACAATGAAATCCTAGTAGAGATTAAATTTGCGGAAAATGTGTTCGATGTAGCGTAAGAAAACATAATGAAACATTAGCTTATTAAACATTATATCAACAGACATTGATAAGTATGTTGTGAAGAAACCTCTACAAATATTAGACAATAATTTTTAAACGATGTACATCCAATCAATAAATTCTAAAAACTTTTAGTGTCATAAAGATTGATCGATTAATGATCTTTGTGACTCATTATGTTTCATCAGCTGTAATACCAGCTGTCTATAAGAATTCCGCGCCAAACTTTTCTTGCATTAATTATTTTGACACTTTAAAGCAAGCAAGTCCCTAAAAATTCTTCTTTTTTGGGACCTTCTATCCGACCTAATGAATTGATCAATTGAAACCTGAAGAGCACGGATATCACTTCGATCTTAATACTCTCACCTTACGTTTGAATGACTTTTTTCTGACTTACTATTCTCGAGATCAAGACGACACAAAATGCCTACTTAGTATGTGTACGTCTAGATATAAAGCTAGAAAGAAATATATAAAGAAAGAAAACTCGTGACGCGGTACTATAAAGTGCTTCGCACCTTAATTATACTGAAGTAAGTGAAGTACTGAAGTAGCTCTTTTTCCCCTTGATAAATAGTCTTTTATACCCTATTTTTTCTTTTATCAAAGTCTATCAGCTATTGTTAATTTCCAATCCGACTAATTTTTATACGAATTATCGTAGATAACAGAAGGGATTTTTATTTTCTTATATTTACATTTGAATGGGGGCATTTCAAAATATAAGGTACATATCTAGATCATTCAATCAGTACATCAATAGCTCTATATGTTGCAGCGGCTTTGCACATACATAACATTCTGATTCATCGTTCATTCATCTACATATCCACAATCATATCATAAAATTGCATGTTGAGTGAATCCATTATTTTTCAACTTAATACAGAAAATAAGTCAGACTTTTATTAACAATTGAATATGATTTTCACCACTGTTTATTGTTCGCGCATTCGAAACTCTACAGAATTCCCAAGTGAACTGTAACATGTATATTCCCACCCAAGACGACGGAACAAAGAAAACAAATATACTACATTGATACCAAATAGACCGAAAACATTAACATAGCCTAAATTTCAAACTGATTCCAAAACGCAAAACCATGTGAAACGACACTTCAGAAAGGTCGAAATCTAGATCGCAGTGCTTCTTCTATTATACTTCTTTGTATGCTGAAGTTTGTAAAAGATATTCACGCTTCTATCTGTTTTTGCCTCTTCTATATGGGTGCTCTTATTGATGAATATCTTTCATATTATGATGCGGCCAACTTGATGATATTTCTATTCTACTTATAAATGTTGTTGAATTTCATAAATTTTAAAGTTTTAAAAATTTTTATGCAGAGTCCTGCCGAGTGTTTCCGATATTTCAATTACAATAAACGCGAAACGCGTTGCCAAATCACAACTCTGCATTTTCGTTTGATTCTAATAACTATAGAACACGTAACAATTGATACAATTAGTCGATTGCTAAAGAGTAAGAGCTGAGATACAGCAAATAGATTTGTTTACTCGTTAAAAAAATACGTGGATTTGTTTCGAATAAATTTACATAATCATGATCTTAGCCTGCTATACGAACCCTCACCATCACCCGTACCCTCTCAAACCAAGAATACTACAAGCATACGTAACGCTGAAAGAACACTAACTACATTAAAAAAAAAGTGAACCAAAAACCAGAAAATATTGAAAAAATTCACCAAGAAAAAATTGAAAACATTGAAAAACTCCCACAAAAAAAAAAAGAATAAAGAAAATTGACTTTCCCAAGAGGCGTCCATAGAGTCGGCGCGCCTGCCTTCGGAAATCTAATTTCGTATCCTTTTCCGCCCCAAAATCCAACAACACACAAAAATTATCCCACACACAAATACATCTTTTCTACACAGGAGAATGTCATATCGCTTTGTCTTTTTCCTCACCACTTTTTCCATTTTACGAATTAATTGTCACATAAGCACAAATGACACAACTCAGCAAATCTGTTCCTCAATTTGAAGCAAACGTTGCGACTCGGTCAGCTCATAGATCATCACCTGGTAACGGAACATTCGTCATCACACTTCTATTCCACTCTTTTGCTCACTTGGAAGGAGAAGTTGCGAGCTGTGTCAGCTCATCGAACATCACCTGGTAAACAAACGTTCCTTAGGACACTGCTGTCATGCGTTGCTAAATGAGCTGATGCAGCCGGACCCTCAGCTTCGAAGTGTGCAAATGAAGTGAACACAATTTTCATGAAGGATGTTGCTTTGCCGTGTGACATTCGATGAGCTTACGCAGTCGTGACCTGTTTCGAAGTGCGACAAAAAGGTGAAAAGAAATATCCTAAACAATGCCCCTTTGCCATGTGATNTGAGCATATTTTGCGATATCGAATTCCAAAAATTGATAGGAGATCATAACGATATTGTTTTCTAATATGTCAAGTATATATTACTAAATTATCTCGACTAACATCGGGTACCTCCGCTAGTTTAACTATAAAGACTTGTAATAGAACAACGACAAACATTTCTTTTCGATACCTGAGGGGGGCTTCAGGTGTGAAAAATTGGGTTGTAATAAAGTAGAAAATAAAATTATGAAAAATAGTCAAGGTTCAATGCTGATTCTCAAGGTAATAAAATTAGGTTCAGATTTTTCGAGATCCTCGGTTCGTAATTCGATGCAATGGAATGTGATTAATGTGTGATAATGAACTAATAAATCAATAATCATCTTACTGCATACTTTACTTTATCTTATTTTACTTCATCGTACTTTTTCGGTAAAGTAAGAGAAACTTCACTTTACTTTACTCAGTAAAATAAAGATAAAGTGACACTCCTATATGATATTCTAGTGATACTCAGCATATGAGCATAGTATGATGACAATCATAGTGGATCGTCTGTTAATGTTCTTTCATTGAAATTCAGTGCTTAGAAGCACATTAATATGTAACTTTAAGCGCTTTAAATTCCTTAAAGACTCAACTATAAGCTCCTTTCAGTTGTTTAAAATGTGCGCTTTGCATCAAAAAGCATAAGCTCTTTTGAGAGAGCTTCTTTATTTAGATATTCATACAAGTATGTTTCAATTCTAAAAAGAATATTTTACATCCTTCTACTAAACGGTACAAAGACTCCTGTCTGAGATATCGAGGAAAAAAAAGGAGTCTAGAACGAATAACATCAAGAATATTGACTATGTAGTGCATATGATATATTTTATTAATGAATATTCTGTTCATATGATGTTGACTTAGATTCTTATTTACGGTTGACATCATCGTGTGAAATTCTATTTAGACTATCTGGAAAATTGAAAATGTAATAAATGATATACTAAAACAGGAAGAATTTGCACGTCATAAATTATTATTAACATGGTAAATCATCTTAGAAAAAAACAAATCAACAAATAGATTTTTCGATGTTTTCTACGAAATGAGATTAGGTAAGAAACATGCTCAAGTCTCACACACAATATTTTATCTTACTTTGATTATTGTTTTTGTTCTTTGTCGTATTACATATAACGTAATAAGATAACTGAAAGGAAAACAAAAAAGTTAATGTATTTGATCAATAAAGACATTTCTATTCAAATTGTTATAGATCTTTTGATTTTCAAGTATGCTATCTGATGCTGAGTTTATTGCATTCATTAACAACATCTCAACTCAGATGAACCGTTATGCTTCAATTTTTACTTTTCTCTTTGGAACAACGGGCAATATTCTTAATACTCTGGTATTTTCTCAACGGTCATTTCGTTCAAATCCATGTGCAATATGTTTTCTTTTCTCATCTGTCGCTAATTTGATTGCAATTCTTTTTGGCGTTACTTCACGAATGTTAAATGGTTGGAGTGCTGATCTAACAAATACAGATAGATTTATTTGTAAATTTCGAACTTTTATTCTCAATGTAGCAAGACCAGTAGCATTCTGGCTTATTCTTCTAGCTGCCATTGATCGATGGTTATTATCCAGTGCTAATGCTCGTTATCGGCAGATAAGTACAATGAAAAATGCTATAAGAAGTATGATTATTATTCTTATTTCCTCAATTGTTCTGTTTTCTCATATAATCTATTGTTATGAACCAAATATGATTGATGAGCCATTGCAATGCTATGGAAAAAACATAACATGTCGTCTTGTGTCAGCTATACTGTTTGCATTTGTAACTACTTTTTTTCCTGTATTACTCATGTTAATATTTGGCTTGATGACAATCAATAATTTACGTCAATCAAAAAATCATATTCAACCTGGTGATATATCGCATAGAAGAAATCAAGAATCAAACAAAGGAAATCAACGACAACGTTTTAATAAAATCAATAATCATCTGCTTGTTATGCTTTTTGGACAAATTGTACTTCTTTTTGTGTTAGGTCTTCCATTGGGTATTGAAAAATTGTATGAAGCAATAACAATGGATAGACCAACAACTAAAGTACAAATAGCTATCGACAAATTTGTTTACAATATTGTTTTACTTCTTAACTTTTTGGCTAATGGATCACCATTCTATATTTACACATTGGCCGGTGGAAAGGAATTTCGAAAAGCATTTTTCAAACTTTTATCAGCAATAGGACAGAAGATATATGATGCAAAAAGAATGTTTCATTTATAAACTGAAGAATTTTTGACACTGAACTGATCTTTTTTAGCTTTATTTTGTCAGAAAATAAAATGAATATTGTAAAATGATGAATCAATGTCAAATAGGCCCGTACTTGCAATGACTGACAAACTGCTCAGGTCTCACAGTGGCCCTACTTTCCTTCTTTTTTGACTACTTAATATAAAAAGTCTCTGAGAAAAGTCAGAGAACACACAGTAAGTGATAAATTTCATTGAGAAACTGATAGAGAGCTTTCAAAGCTCCAGAAAATATTTAATTTACCGCAAGTTCAATAAGAAATCCATCACATTAAGGTTTCAATGAGTGTATATGGGTGGGGTGTGGGTGTGGAATATTGGATGTGGCCCTGGATGAGTGTGGGAGTGGGGTGGGTGAGTATGAGTTTAGTTCGTTGTGAACGTGGGTGTGGGTGGCCGTGGATGTTGAAGGATCCTCAGCGACACGTGGACTTCATTCCCTACGCTCACCTACATCCCTACTCACGCACTTAATGGTTGTCCTATCTGAAATTACTATTATTCAGCTATCATTTCAATCAATAGTTCGAAACTCGATGGAAAGGCAAATATTAGTTGTTACGTTACACTTGATCCATGAAACGATCTGATGCCGCTTACGATATTCAAAATATTTTGGCAAATATGTAAACTGGTTCAAAAGATATTGAATGGAAGAAATGTAACTTATATTACAGGAATAGATTCAACAAAATCTGCTGTTCCTCAACACCAAATATTTCTACGCAAAAAGCATTCATTCTATGCAAGACTTCGAAAATATGTTAAGGAGGGAGTCTTTTCAGGTGCTCCCCTCCTCGCATTTCAATGAACTTTTGTCTAATTATAGGAAGCAGTATGCTAATAAAACGCCTAAAAGTATTTGGGTTGCTCGTGCTTCCTGCAAAAGTTATGCACATTGTTATTTTATCCCTGCAAGATATACCATATGATGTTGAAAGGCGAATTTCTCTGGTTAACCAATGAGGTGAGATCTTGGAGAACATTTTTTGTATTTATTTAGCGGTAATTGAAAGATCATATTGGGAAACTTATGAATTCAAAGTATCAGATTGTTTTCAAGTGTTTGTGAAAAATATCAAGGAATACAATCTTCGTTTTTCTCTTGTAATTAAATCATAAAAGTTAAATAAAAAGTTGTTTTTACATACTGATGGTTGTTTTAAGAAATTTTCTGTCTCAGATCACCCCATTGATCCAGAAAAAGGTCTTATAAAGTGCAGAATGCCAAGGATTTATGAGAACTTGATTCATTCTTTCGCAGTGCCATTATTTGTCGAGTTAAGAAACAAATTACAAGAAAAGAATTGACTACCAAGCATGCACAACCTTGTTCCGTGAAATTATAATCGAATACGAAAACTCATTGTGAGCAACAATAGTATTCTGTATTTTGTAGAGAATTCTTTTCTGAACCTTTTCTGGATAAATGGGGTGATCTGAGACAGAAAAATTCTGTAAGGAACCAAAAGTATGTGAAAAAAACTTTTTGGGTGTGGGTGTGGGTTGGGTCTGATGTGGGGTGTGGATGTGGGTGTCGACGTGTGTGCCGTATTAGTCTGCTTCTGAGCCACAAGCACACCCACCTCACGTCCATACCCACGTCCATCCACACACCCCACCTCACACCCGCATCAACACCCACATACCCTCCATCATAGACTGTGACAGACAGGATTGCTGACCTTCATAGAAGTAATAGACGGGCATCGCCGGCGTCACTGAATGTCCACGATTTTTGGTACAAGATTAGTGAATATATGTCACTAATTTCTGTTGAAAGTATGTCTGCTTTTTCTTTACTGTAGCTCTAGTAGTTAACTTAGAAATGATGAGTGAAAGGCTACCAGGTTTCGTGAAATAAAACGGGATTTTCATGACTGTTGAGAGCAGCTACATCGTGTTTCACATTTTTAATCCCCAATGGATTGCGCTAATAGCCTTTTTGTTCACTGCATGGCTGCCCGTGTGCGAATTCACCGAAGCATAGATCAACCGCTAATGAACATTCATACCATCCGTAACTCGACCCACACTCCATCCACACCGACTTCAGTTTTATAAAAGATTTTAAAGTAATAGATGAACGGAAATCTTTTGGCAGATCAAATGTTCGCTACACAGTATCAAAGCACGTCTCTCTAAAAATAATAAGAAAACAAAAGTTTCAGATTAAGTTGCTTTCGTGAGGCTATTACATGCATTTGATAAGTGGTACTGACTTTTAGCACACACGATGTTAGCTGATCATTTTGAATCATGCCAATAGTCACTATAAAAAACAAAAATCAGATTAAGTGGAATAAAACAGTAGAAACATTTGTTTTTTTTTGTTCGTGACTAGGTTTCTTAGTCCTACTTATTCTATTTACTTTGGAATAGGTTTAATGCTTTTATGTGCATGCTGATTAGAGCCCATCGGGCCCAAGAATTTAGGGACCCGACCCGACTCCGATTGATCAAAAGTTTTGGAGCCATGACTGGATGATTAATTATTTGAGGATCTAGAGTCTAGTCATACGTTGAAAACTTTTAAAGAAATTTTCTGATCCGAATTCGGCTGTTGCCCAGAAACAGAGCTTTCTTCAATGTGAATTACATTAACAAAAATATTCCTATCCCGATAGGACCCGATGGACTCTAATGCTGATCATCCACTAGAAAAGTTAGTACTACGGTGAAACATACCATTCGAGTTCAAATTCTGAAATTAGCAAGCCCAGAAATGCATTTAAAATTAGAAGTTTTGTCCTTGTTAATTCTGTTTCTCATCATCATCAGGAAACAATTCTGAACCTTCTCCTCTAGATTAAAATCGTTCAGTTATCTCAACTTCTGAGTAACAATCAGATTCGGACTATAACATTTCTTTAAGAGTTTTAATGTACGACTCCAATTTAGACGCTCAAATAATTATTAATCATTCAAGCATGAAGTCAAAAGTTCTTGGACCCGATGGGCTCTAGTAAAGAGAGACATCTTCTGACGTAATACACTTATTGGTATTTTTATCATTAGTCGGAATATATGTAGAGAAACGCATTGAGCCATTCTTTGATTTGTTAAGATAACTATTCGAATCGAAAATCATATATCGAAATGATTGTGAAGATAACCAAGAACAATCAATGATTCATCAACAATTATAATTTATCCTTTTCTTTTTTTTCTAGATCAAAAGATTCTCATCGAACATGTCGATAACTGTAATCGAAGATTTTTCCAATGAGATTTTCTATGAAATATTCGAATATCTCGATGGTTTTGAAATATATAAAACATTTTCAAATCTTAATCATCGTTTTAAACAACTTTTTAATCATTCATCTTTTCTTTTTAACCTTGATTTATTTTGTTCAAAACTTATTGACTTAAATATGAATATTTATCAACAACTTCTACTTAATAACAAACATCAAATACTTTCATGTCGTATATGTTTACCAATAAAAAAATGTGAATTATTTTCATCATTATCAATTGATTCATCATTTAATCATCTTGAATCAATTGTTATTAATGTACTTTCACCAACTATACTTATTACACTTCTCACTAGTTTATCTTCTTTACCTCGTCTTTTCTCATTAACCATCGATACAGAATGGACATCAACAGATTTAAGTGAAGTTTATCGGTTAATTTTGGCTTTACCAAAATTAAAATATGCTAATATTTCAGCAGACTCAAGTATCAATTCCATATTGTTGCCAATTGCTACCGATGAACAAATTAGTACTATTGAATATCTTATTATTAATCATGATTGTACTTTTAATGAACTTTGTATTCTATTATCTTATACACCTAAACTTTATCGTTTAAACTTGATGACTTTAACTGAAAATTATTCACATCATGAAATTATATTTTCATTTATTTGTCCTAATTTAACATATCTTTCAATAGAAATGTCTTATATAAGATTTGATGAATTTGAAATGTTCATTATAGAAACCGAATGTAATTTAAAAGTTTTACGTATTAATACTTTCTCTGAAGATAGAGATTATCTTGATAGTGATCAATGGGAGAGATTGATCTGTAATTATTTAATTGAATTAAAAGAATTCTATTTGGAATATCGTCAACCAATTGATCCTGAATCTGGATCTATAACAAATTTTAAACCTCCTGATCAATGTAATTCACTATTTTGGGTTGAAAAGAAATGGACATTCGAAGTTGAAATGGATTCATTCGATTATGTTTATTCAATTTGTTCATACAAGTAGAACTTATTATAATATATGATTATATATTTTTATATCTTTCAGAAAGAGATGGTATGATGTTAATTCTTCGATTGAACTTTCAAAATCTACTCGACTTACACTTGTGGATTTACCTGATGATGATCATATGATGGTATTTCATTTAATTATTCGTGATCTTTTACTAGTCACACAGATTTATCATTTGGAAATTACTAAAGAAACTATTTGTTCTAATATATTAATCGAACTAACGTATAAATTATCTTCACTTGATTCATTAAAAATAACTTCATTGATACTATCACAATTTGAATATCCATCTATCAAAGATAAAAATTTTCATTTTCTATCCGAGAAAAATAATATTACAAAAGTTTATTTGAAAAAAATGGGTGCAATTGAAGAAATTTATTTTCTTATTCGACTTTGTCCTCGTATGATATATTTTAAAGTCGATTTTATTAATGATATGGATATTGCATTATTTATTAAATATATTTTAAAGAAAACTAATAAGGATTGTAATCAATATCTTCGTTCATTATGTATTCGTAAGCCAACAGCATCTGATGAAATTATTCAAAAATTAGAAGAAATGATTCATCAAGAGCAATTACTTAATCATTTTACAATAACATCTGTCGCTGACAACATCTATTTACAATGGAAATAATTGGATTTTTTTTATTCTAGTGTTTACTTTTGTATTGAAGTTTAAACTATAAAAAAACAAGTTAACGTTGATTTATTTAGG